TGGTTAGTTTGGCTCACAACTGAAACACAAGTGCAAGCACTTGTCCTTGAGACAACCACGAGACCCCAGCATGCAGCCGAAGAGCTTTACGCAAACCTCCCATTTTGTCACACTGAATATTAAAACGGTGTATATGTAAGGGTCGAGACCTAATAAAAATAATAATGTTTGCTGTCTCATTAAAGTATCACAAACAAACGAACACACACCTAGGTTCTTTTCATTTACTGTGAGTGTGTGAGGGTAAAGAAAGAATGCCTACCAGCAGAGTTTTGTGCCCCTGGCTTGATTAATATTAAGGTGCCAGAGGTTTTGCCACTGTAGCTTTTGAACTACCCATTAAATAATATACTGAAAAGGGGAAATAACTATCATTATTTTAGTATTATTACTGTTAAAATTGTTGTAATGTCACAAATTCCCTGAAAAAAGTCTCAGTTTCAAAACTATTTTCTATAGATAACATTTGGAGACCTGGTGGTCAATACTTACAGTCCCAAACCTATAATGAGCAGTAGAAATACTATGAGGATTTTAAAAATACAGATTCTTGCCGAGGTTCGGTCTCCAGAGTTTCATTTTGGGTGAGCCCACAAATCAATAATCCCAGTAAGTTCGTGGGCAGTTTTGAAATTGCTGATCTATGCTATACTAGCAGTTATTTACTTACAAATTATTTTGAAAGTATCCACCACCTCCTTCCTATATTTAATATATGTATTAATTTATATATAGTTACTATATTTTCAATTCAATTACCAATATTGTTAAGAAATATCTATTATAAATAATACCACATAATTATCACTATCTCTTAGCTTTGATCCTTCTTGAAGATGTCCATGACATATAAATGAGATATGCCCTATTCCCTGACAATGTAACTTCAACCTGTGCTTCATGGTATATCTACCTTAATACCTTTTCTTCTTCCAGTTCATTCTGCATCTAAGTACAAACATTTTTCTAAAATAGCATTTTTACCATGACAAAATCTGGCCAAAAACTTTGAAAGACTTCACAATCTCTGGTCTCAAGTCTATTCATATAATTTTCCTGCAAAGACTGTTTTAAGAGCTTAATTTCTATTGAAATCTAGTATAAGGCAACTCCTCCAAGAAGACTGTTCTGTTGAATTTTAACCCTAGATTTAGAGCTAATCTGGGCATAGCTCACATTGATGCTGTATCCTTCCAAGATGAGAGATTTCTTTTGTCGCTAGAGGCTGTTTTCTCTACAAGGCTCTGCTTTGGAAAGATTATATATATTATTTCATAGATTATATAACAATATGTATTATTGGCACACTTATACCTATAAGGAAAAGCAGACTCTTCAACAAGACTAATAATCTACAAAAAAAAAAAAAAAAGACTAATAATCTACACTGAGAATGATTCTTGCAATATAAGAAAAAATGGTATCCAATTTAATAGAGGAATACGGTCTATGCAAATCGCATGTAATCTGTCCTATGTTATTGTCCTAAAAGTGTCCTTTTAAAGCAAAAGTTTAAAAATATCACATTAAAACCCCTAGCTGTTAACATATTGTCACTAACAGAGGAAATATGTATATGCATTATCTATCCATAAATATTTTATTATTTCTTTCTAAAATTTAAGAACTCTTTAAAAAACCTTAACCTTAAAGCATTATCATACCTTCAAAAAAATAAAAAACAATTCCTTATTATCATTAAGCAGCCACTCAGTTTAAGTAGGGTTAACTAAACAAACATGCAAAGGTACTATAATATTTGTCACTTCTGATTCTGAAATATGAAGAATAAAACATGAATCTCTGGCTCCCTCTGGTGTTGAAGTACTATATAGCTTCCCTTATACATCCCAGGTGTGCTGACAAGCCAAACAGAAAATATAATACTCTTAGTGGAAAAAGTCAAAAACAAAAAAAATTTTTTTCAGTTAAGCAAGTAGTTTTGAAAAAAATAGACAGATATCATCCTATGTTATTAAACCTTATCCAGTTAAGTCAAGACAAGGTCTAATGGCACACACTATTTATCTCCTATTTGACCGAAGAGTCAACATCAAGGGTCTTTTTTAAGCTTCATTTTAACAACTGAAATGACACTGATATTAAGTATCCACAATAAATCAAACTTAAGTTAAAAAAAAATGTCACTTTAAAAAGATATGCATATGCCACAAATGACCCAAATTACTATAAAGCATTATAGAAAACAAAAATGTATTAGTGCAAAAATAAACAATATCTTTAAAAATAGCTATGATTATACATAGTTCAATTCTCTTTTTCTGAATTATTTCAGCATATATTTGAATGCTTATTATGGACCAGGCCTTGTTCTAAATATTAGATATACAATGGTAAACGAAAGTTATTATAAACTCTCATAGAGATTTTAAAGGAGTGGGAAACACAAGGAATGATAAACAACCAGGATATTTTCTGATGAGCCCCTCAGAAGACAGCAGGTATGAATGAAGAAGTTACTTTACATTGGCTGGCTAAGCAAATTCTCTAAGGAGATAACTTTTAAACTAAAATAAGAACTGCCAGCACAGAACCTGATGCAGGGCTCAAACCCACAAACTGTGAGATCACGACCTGAGCCGAAGTCAGATGCTTAACCGACTGAGACACCCAGGCACCCCTCAAAGACGAAGAAATAAATTCAAGGCCTTCAGATGAGAATATCAAGTAAATAAAAACAACATAAATATCAAGGCAATAGTGGAGAAGCATTTTTAAAAATGCAATATGAAAATATTACAAAAATGTTAATTTCATATCCAGCCAGCTGCCCACTGTATCAAAGACAATGCAACAATTTTTTTTTTTAACACACAAGAACTTAGGAAATTCTACACTAATCAGCCTTTCTTGAATAGATGAACTTCATTCCAACCAAGAGATAACTAATAAAACTTCAGAGACAGGACTAGATGATCATTTTAATATAAATGTAGACGTACAACTAAAATGCAGGTGGAGATGAAGAAGAGAAACTACTACAGAAATGATTTTAAATTATGACAAAGAAATAATGCAACTAAAAACGGACGAAGGTTGAGGAAGAAGAAAGCAAATATCCATATACTGGTTTTTATCTAGGAAATAGGCAGGAATTTAAGAATATCAATACAAGAAGGACAAACCTAAAACTTAAACTTTTAGAACAAAGCATAGGAGATAATTTTTGTAAGCTAGGATTACACAAACATTTCTTAGATAAAACATGAAATGTATATAGTATAATTTACAAGGAAAAACGTAATGAACCGAACTTAAGCAAAAGTAAATGTTTGCTCTGTGAGAAACACTGGTGAATGATGAAATACACCATAAAGAAAATATTTCCAAATCACTTATATATGGCAAAAGGCTTGGATCTTGAATACATGAAGAACTCTAAAACTCAACCATAAGAGAGGTGCTTGGGTGGCTCAGTTAAGCATCTGACTCTTGGTTTCAGCTCAGGTCATGGTCTCATGGTTCAAGGGTTCATGGCTTTGAGCCCCATGTCAGGCTCCACCCTGACAGGGAGGAGCCTGCTTCTCTCTGCCTCTCCCCCACTTAGGCTTTCTTTCTCTGTCTCTCTCAAAATAAATGAGCCATAAAAAAATAAATTAAAAATAAACCATAAGAAAACAACTCAGTAAGAAAAAATGGGCAAAGGATTTGAACACATACTTCATCAAAGAAGGTATGTGGAATGCAAATAAATATTAAGAACAGATCCTCAATATCTTTAGTCATTAGGGAAATACAAATTAAAACCACACAATAATAACAATAATAAACTCATAAGAATGGTAAAAATCAAAAGAACTGACAATACCAAGAGGTGACAAAGTTGAAGAGCAAATGACCTCTTATCATTGTTGGTGGAAATGATAATGGTGCAGTTCCTTTGGTAAAGTTTGGTAGTTTTTTTTTTTTTTAATGTTTATTTATTTGGGGGGGGGGGCAAAGAGAGAGGGAGACACAGAATCTGAAGCTGGCTCCAGGCTCTGAGCTGTCAGCACAGAGCCCGACATGGGGCTCAAACTCATGAACCACGAGATCACGACCTGAGCCAAAGTCAGTTGCTTAACCAAATGAGCCACCTAGGCGCCCCAAGTCTGGTAGTTTCTTAAATAAACACACACTTACTACTGATCCAGCAATCAAACTCCTAGATACTTACTGCAGAGAAATGAAAACCTATGTTCACATAAAAATCTGTATATAAATGTACATTTTTTATATGTAGGTGCCCCTGTATATAAATGTTTATAGCAGCTTTACATATTACTCTAAAAAATCTGGAAACAACCCAATGTCCATCAACAGGAAAAAGGATAAAGAAATTTACATTTACACAATGATTATATCTCACCAATACAAAAGAACAATCTTCTATATTCAAAATGATATGGATGAATCTCAAAAATATGCCGAGTGGAAAAATATGCAAAAAAGTTAATGTAATTTGTTGTTTATGCAAAGTTGAAGAACAGACAAAAATGATCTATGGGGATGGGGACATAAGAATGGCAGCTGCTGGGGGTGCCTGACTCTTGGTTTCGGCTCAGATCATGATCTTACAGTTTGTGAATTCGAGCCCGTTGTTGGGGTCTGTGCTGACAGTGCAGAGCCTGCTTGGGATTCTCTCCCTCTCCCTGTCTTTCTGCCCCTCCCCTGCTCATGAGTGTGCACTCTCTCTCTCAAAATAAATAAATACATATTTAAAGAATAGGAGCTGCTGGAGGCAAGAGTTAGAAGGTAATTGATCTGAAAGTAGCATGAAGGTAAAGGATACATTCAGCATCCTGATTATACAGGGATGTATAATTCTCAAAATTCACTGAACTATACACTTAAGATTTGTATACTTGTTTATAGACTGTACTCAATGAAGTACTGTCAGCTTTTTAAAAAGGCATTATTATATTTATGTTATTCTGTCATTTTTTTATTAATACTACTTCCTTAAACCAGACCAAATTTTAACTATATATTTTCTTTACCTGAAAGATGTTGTTCCATTCTCTTTTACTTTATTTTTCTGAATAGGAGATGCTTGGAGTGACAGAATTTTATTTCCTGGCAGGGTAATTTGCTTTAGAATGGAAGCTATAAAAACAAAAGAAAAAAAATAATTAAAAAAAAAGCAATCATTCCATATTAGGAAAAATGCAGGACAACAGCTTTTAATATACACAGAATAACCAAACAAAATTTCAAGCTGTCCTAGAACTATGTTTAAATTCAAAAATAGCAATGAATTTATTCCCTGTCTAAAATCATCTTATAAAATCAAGACCTCTCCATTTCTTTTTATGTAGTCTTCAAGCAGTCTGTAGAATTACCAGCATTATGAACATATGCAGAAACATGACAAGTGATACATGTTATTAATATATCATTTACATTTGCAGACTTTAAGAATACATGAAACTTCTTCTATGTATAAGAACAATTTTCAGATGTAGAAAAAGTACATTTCAAAAATAAAGCTATAGGAATTTTTAGAAGTTAAAAAAGTGCTTTATTCACTAACAGATTATTTTATCTAATTACAGAATATTGCAAGTAGTTGTTTCTTTTATTCTAAAACACATATCCGCCCAAAAGTAGCTATGTATATACAAAGAATGTACTAGTGACTTTTCAGTCCTCTCTCCTAGGTCCTACTTTTAAAAGACTACTTTTTCTTAATATGACAAATAAAAAAAGATACTACAAAACCCCATCATGTTCCAAACCCAGCGTGATGGAGCCAGGGATGGGTCGGCGTCTACCTGGAGGAAACTGACTGGTAGGTATTGCAGTGCTCACTGGCATCTTCTTCTGTCCAGATTTCTGAATGGTCAATGTTGAGGAATGGGGAAGCGTGGTCACTTGTTTTGTGACACCTCCTAAAGGCTGCTGGACTACCTGAAACAACAAGAACTATTAATACACTCATTCACGTAAACCTGCTTTAGGAAAGAACAAGTTTTCAGTTTAAGAGTAGAACAAACGATTGTGCTCACCTACCTGTAAATCTACCTTTATGTTAGCACAACAAGAAAGTCTACTTAAAATTTGTATTTGTATGTAGCAAAATTACCTTGCTCGAAAGTGAAAAATATGACTACCTCACACAATGTACAGTAAAACCTTGGTTTGCAAGCGTAATTCATTCTGGAAACAGTTTCACTTTTAATCCAAAACACTTGTATATCCAAGTAAATTTCCCCTTAAGAAATAATGGAAACTCAGATGATTTGTTCCACAACCCAAAAATATTCATATAAAAATGATCATAATACTATAATACAAAATAAAGAAAATATAGCCTATAAAGAAAATAAACAAATTAACCTGCACTTACCTTTGAAAGCCTTCGTGGCTAGTGTGAGGGAGACAAGAGAGAGGAGATTATTGTGTAGGACGACTTTCACTATCACTAACAGAATCACTGCTGTCTATTGGCTCGATGGAATCTTTCTTTCCATGCAACTTTAACAAAGAACCTATCCAACGGCGTCTGCTTTTGCCTCTTTTTGAGGATTTCGTGGAAATGTGACATTGGGTTGTCATTAAAAAGATTCATTGTTTGCACTGCTATAGCCTTATTCGGGTAGTGCTTTTCTACAAAATTTTGCAGTTTCCCACATTTTACACATCTCCCTAATCTCCTTTGTAGTGAGGAATTTCACCACCTTTTTTCCTCCTCTGCAGAGGAGTACTCCTCCATAGCCTCTTGTTGTTGCTCACAATGCAAAGTGACGGTAGGATGCCAGTTGTGGGCACCTTCCAACATTCTGAAAAATCACTGATTTCTGCCAAACACCTGAGCATGGGAGACAATCACCCACAATCCCACAAAGAGATAGAGAAGAACCACTGGCTCTGCTGTGATCATGTGATGTTTGGTGTCACATACTACTCGTATTGCAAGGCATCACTCATTTATCAAGTTAAAATTTATTAGAAACGCTTGCTCGTCTTGCGGAACACTCACAGAACAAGTTACTTGAAATCTAAGGTTTTACTCTATTTTATTTTTGGAGTATAATTCAAATCGGGGCACTACCCACTGCCCAATTTAAATCTCCATTTAGATCATACTGTCATTTTTTAAAAAAGTTTATTTATTTTGAAAGAGACAGCACAATTGGGGGAGGGGCAGAGATAGAGGGAGAAAGAGAGAATCCAACCTCACAAAACTGTGAGATCATGACCTGAGCTGAAACCGAGTCAGATGCCCAACCAACTGAGCCACCCAGGTGCCCCTATTTTCAATTTTTAACTTATGGAAAATTTCAAGCATATACAAAAGTAGAGGGAAGAATAAAATAAAATCACTCATATTATTATTATTACCCAGCTTCAAAAATGATTCTTTACAATCCTGTTTATCCATATTCCTACCCACTCATTTCCTCACCCCCCACAATTATTTTTTTAAAAAATCCCAGGTATAGGGGCACCTGGGTGGCTCAGTCTGTTAAGCATCCAACTCTTGATCTCAGTTCAGGTCTTGATCTCAGGGTCATGAGTTCAAGTCCCATGTTAGGCTCCACGCTAACCATGAAGCCTACTTTAAAAAAAAATTCCAGGTATATTTTTTAGCCCTAAATATTTCAAAATATATCTCTAAAAGATAAAGACTTCTGGGGCACCTGGGTGGCTCAGTTGGTTAACTGTCTGACTTTGGCTCAGGTCATGATCTCGTGGCTTGTGAGTTTGAGCCCTACATCTGGCTCTGTGCTGACAGCTCAAAGCCTGGGTCCTGCTTCAGATTTTGTGTCTCCCTCTCTCTCTGCCCTTTCCCTGCTCGTGCTGTCTCTATCTATCAAAATAAAATAAAAACATTAAAAAAATTTTTTAAAGATAAGGACTTCTGGGGTGCCTGGGTGGCTCAGTCCACTGAGCATCTGACTCTTGATTTTGACTCAGGTCATGACCTCACAGTTGGTGAGAGAGTGAGCCCTACACTAGGCTTTGGGCTGACAGCGCAGAGCCTGCTTAGGATTCTCTCTCCCTTTCTCTCTGCCCTTCCCCTGCTCATGCTTGTTCTCTTTCGCCCTCTCAAAATAAAATAAACTTTAAAAAAATTAATGAATAAAATATAAAAACTTTTAATGAGCTATTTGTTAAAAGCAGCTGGAAAATGACGATGTTAGGTAATTTTCCAAGAGAGCAAACAGTACAAGAAATCTAAAGGACAGGGGCGCCTGGGTGGCTTAGTCGGTTAAGCGTCCGACTTTCGCTTAGGTCATGATCTCGCGGTTCGTGGGTTCGAGCCCCGCGTCGGGCTCTGTGCTGACTGCCAGCTCAGAGCCTGGAGCCTGTTTCAGAGTCTGTGTCTCCCTCTCTCTCTGACCCTCCCCTGTTCATGCTATCTCTCTCTCTCTCTCTCTCCTAGAAATAAATAAAAATATTTAAAAAAAATAAAAAAAAAAAGAAATCTAAAGGACAATGGTTAGGGATAAATGAAGAGAAACTACACTAATAGTAGGGGCTATTTTTAGCTACAAGGAATAAGAAAAAACAAAATAGCAGAGCTTCATTTTTTCACTTCAAAAAAGAAAAACAGCATTGGTGGTATAGTGGGGAGCATAGCTACCTTCCAAAAAAGAAAAACAATCACCATGTATATTTCAGTCAGCTGTTGATAGTGAACTATTAAAAAGTCCTTAAACTCATATATGGATAATATAAACAAGCCAGGAGAGAGACTGGTGAACAGAATTTTAGAGATAAAATTTATTCTATTCTCTACTTTGTACAAATAATATAAAATGTAGTATGTATTACTAAATAAAGGTAACTCACAAGAAACTCAAAATGTCTCAGTAAAAAAATCCCATAGGTCATCATCAAGACAGTATGGTACTGGTGGAAAAACAGACATATAGATCAATGGAACAGAACAGAGAACCCAGAAATAGACCCACAAACATATAACCAACTGATCTTTGACAAAGAAGGAAAGAAAATCCAATAGAAAAAAGACAGTCTCTTCAGCAAACGGTGTTGGGAAAACTGGACAGGACATGAGAAAGAATGAACCTGGGTCACTTTCTTACACCATACACAAAATTAAACTCAAAATGGATGAAAGACCTAAACATAAGACAGGAAGCCATTAAAATCTTAAGAGGAGAAAACAGGCAACAACCTCCTTGACCTTGGCCGTAGCAACTTCTTACTTGACATGTCTCCAGAGGCAAGGGAAATAAAGGCAAAAATCACCTGTTGGGACCCAGGATAAAAAGCTTCTGCACAGTGAAGGAAACAATCAACAAAACTGAAAGGCAAATGATGGAATGGGAAGAAGATATCTGTAAATAACATATCAGTCAAAGGGTTAGAATCAAAAATCTATAAAGAACTTATCAAACTCAACACCCAAAAAACAAATAATCTAGTGAAGATTGGCAAAGGACATGAATAGACACTTCTTCAAAGAAGACGTTGAGATGGCTAACAACCACATGAAAAAATGCTCAATATCACTCATCATCAGGGAAATCACATCAAAACCACAGTGAGATACCATCTTACACCTGACAGAATGGCAAAAATTAACAACACTGCCAACAACAGATATTGGAGAGGACGCAGAGAAAGGGGAACCTCTTATGTTGCTGGTGGGAATGCAAACTGGTGCAGCCCCTCTGGGAAATAGGATGGAGGTTCCTCAAAAAATTAAAAATAGAACTACCCTACAACCCAGCAATTATACTACTAGGTATTTATCCAAAGGATGGATACAGGAGTGCTGTTTCAAAGGGGCACATGTACCCCAATGTTTATAGCAGCACTACTGACAATAGCCAAAGTATGTAAAGAGCCCAACTAATGAATGGATAAAGAGGATGTGGTATATACAATATATACAATGGAATATTACTCGGCGATCAAAAAGAATGAAATCTTACCATTTGCAAAAACATGGATGGAACGAGAGTATATTATGCTAAGTGAAATAAGTCAGTCAGAAAAAGACAAATATATTATTTCATTCATATGTGGAGTTTAAGAAACAAAACAGATGAACCTAAGGGAAGGGAAGCAAAAATAAGATAAAAACAGGGAAACAAACCATAAAAGAGTTTTAAGTACAGAGAATAACTGTGGGTTGCTGGTGGGGTGCTGGGCGGGGGGATGGGCTTTATAAATGGATGAGGAGCATTAAGGAGGAAACTTGTTGAGATGAGCACTGGGTGTTATATGTAGTGATGAATCATTAAATTCTATCATGAAATCATTATTACACTATATGTTACCTAACTTAGATTAAAATTAACAGAAAAAATTTTTTAAAGTAATAAAAATAATAAATATTAAAAAATAAAACATAAGGAAATGAAAAGAAATCCCATAAGAACTAATGCCCATAGAGAAAAATACAAATTGGAATACCTCAACTACCATCACTCTATGAAACTAAACTCTTAAAAAGAGAGAGTTCTTGAAAACAAGGATGTATTTCAGTAAATTGAGATTATAAACTGAGTTGTAAAGTCCTAGGGATTAGATTTATATTTTACCAACTGAGATTTTTATACATGGAGAGATAAAGAAGGTGTGGTATATACATACAATGTAATATTACTCAGCTATAAAAAGAATGAAATCTTGCCATTTACAATAATATGGATGGACCCAGAAAGTATTGTGCTAAGTGAAATAAAGTCACAAACTTCCAGTTATAAGACATGTGAATATAATGTACAGCATGGATAGGGAATACAGTTAATGTTTTAATAACTTTGCATGACATATAATAGCTAGGTTTAGTGTGGTAATCACTTCCTAATGCATTTAAATGTTGTACACCTGAAACTCAATATAATCTTATACATCAACTATACTTCAAAAAAAATTTTTTAGATGTGTATGCATAAAGAAAGGCCTGTAAGTTATAAAACAATTAGTAA